AGCAACAAACTTGAATAAAACCAAGAGAATAATTTTGCCTGCATAATTTTTTCTTGAGTGGTATTCGGCTGGACTATTTCAAGAGAAAAACAAGCCCAATTTTCATTTCAAAAATTTATTTTCTTTAGGTGACACTTGTCAAACTCAATAGTTTTTTACATTAACCACACAAAATTTTGTCGCTGAAAAACCATCATGTTGGTTTTGTCCAGGTAGGAACAGGTAGAAGTTTTGTCAGTATGAAACTGGCCGTTCCTATGACATTTTGCCACTGTAAAACACTCTAGTGAAATAGTCACGCTAATTTTTTTATACAGGGTATTCCAAAAACAGCTGTAAAGTCAATAAGGTAATTTTTTAAATGGTATCCCCTGTATATATTTCTGGATTCTGCGGAAAATTCTAGACATATTTCGTGTACAATATCATATACCTATTTTCAACTGTTTCGGAAATATTGACAGTTGAAAATTTGAGTTTTTTGCAACTTTGACAGGCTGTAAAACCTAAACGGTTAATTTTACAGCAAAACCGATTTCCCATTCACGCCTGTAGCTTTTCAAAAGCTATCACTTGACACCAACTTTGAATTTAACTGAAGGTTAAATTTAACCGGAATTTTTAAACATGGATTAAAATCAAAGTTGGTGTCAAATGATAGTTTATAAAAAACTAAGACAAGAATGTATGAAAGGGTCTGATTTTCCGTGGAGTTTTTGTAGCAGATTAAGATTTTTTGTAATAGACTAATTTTTGGGTAGTTTTCTGAGAACTTATTGAAATGTACAAAGTTCATCAGATGCTGGTTGCTTTCTTCTAGCAGAGCAGTTGATTAACAAATAAAGTCTGTTTTTTTTTTAAAGATAATTCCCCAAGTCAAGAATTTAGTAACTATGTTGGCAACACAAGCCTTTTTTACATAAAAAAATTGATAACGAAAGCATTGACAATTTTACATCGTATTGCCAACATAATATCATTTTGACTTTTATCTTTAAAAAAAAACAGACTTTAACTTCGTTCGCGAAAATGATTGAGAACAATCAGAACTGTTTCGCATGTGCAGTTCAAAAAGCAAAATTTTAAAAGTACAAGCAGTTGGGCATGCAGGAAAAACGTACTAGATTCATGAGCGGCGTAGTAACGTAATAATTAATTGCCTTTAATAAAAGATCTGTTACGAACGTAATAGCGCTGGCAACGCTGATGAAAGGGTTTTCTCTAGAATCAACCGTTTGCGTTTCAAAGTCTGTCAAAGACGCAAAAAAGTCAATATTCAACTGTCAATATTTCCGAAACAGTTGAAGATAAGTATAGGACATTGTATGTACAGGGTGTCCGAATTTGGATGGTTTTAATAGGAAACGTTAATTTCTGAGCGAGATACAAAAAAATTAACACCTCACTCCGAGGCTCAAATTTCTTGAAATTTTGATTGATGCAAACCGCATTTTGATATCTTCAACCGTTTAACCGCTAGAGTGCGATTCTCGATTTTGAGCAGTACTGTGAAATCTTCATAACTTTTTTGTTTATAAAAATAACTGATTTCCGTAAAAACTTCCTAGAAGCACTTTTTCAAGCAGAATTCAGTGACGTTTTCAGTTTTTTTCTATTGGGCCTTGATTTCAAGATATTCACTAAAATCCGATCTAAGGCAGGCCGCACATCAAAGAAACATGAAACGTGTAACATCAAACATGAAACGTAAAACATGAAACAATTAATTCGGAAACGCGAAATCGTTTCTTTCTTGCATACTAATTGAAGAAACAAGAATAATGTTTGCAAAGTCTTTTGGTAGTTTAGTGGAATATAAAGAAAGGGTAGCACACAATGGAAAGTGTTGACGATGAGCAACAACAACTACTGTTGTGGCAACTTTTCTATTATCGTCAAAAAGCCAAAAAAATAAAGGAAACGACGTTACTGGGTACATCCATACAATAATGTACTTTTTACCTGTTGGGCAACATTTTGGCAGGCTTTTTCTTGTGATTGTCTCTTCGAGTACTTCTCCATGTTATACTTATATAATTCTCCATCATGCTCTACCGCTAAAACGAACACAATATTGAATTCTTGGTCGTAATTAATTTTTTTATTAATGTATTTATGACCAGAAACCGTGAAACTGAAACGAAAAAATAGAACGCGATCTATTTCATGAAACACGTTTCAAGCAAGGAAAATGTTTCACCTGCATGAATCACACTCGTTTCATTAGTGGGCGGACTTGTATTTGCTTGTTCTTGTTCTATTTTCATGAAACGTATTTCACGTTTTATGTTTCATGTTTCACGTTTCATGTTTCTTTGATGTGCGGCCTCCCTAACAGTTTTCGAAAAAAAAATTATTTCGTTTTTTTCCATAAGAAACAATGTGTTAAAAAAGGTCTTTATATTTGTAAGGAAAATGAGAAAGGTCTCTTTCTAACTCATTGTTTCTTATAACAAAAACCAAAATAGTTTTTTTTCTGGAAAAAATATTGAAGATAAACCCATCCAAATTTGTATCATTGAAATCAGCAAAAGCAGAGCTTTCTAAAGAGCTATTAATATATAGGGTGTCCCATTGAAAAAAGTCGGATTTTGGTCAATATTTTGAAACCGTGGAAAAAAACTGAAAACGTCACTAAATTCTGCTTAAAAAAGTGCTTTTAGGAAGTTTTTACAGAAATCAGTTATTTTCATAAATAAAAAAGTTATGAAGATTTCACAGTATTGCTCACAATCGAGAATCGCCCTCTAGCGGCTAAACGGTTGAAGATATCAAAATGCGGTTTGCACCAATCAAGAGTTCAAGAAATTTGAGCCTCACAGTGGGGGGTTCATTTTTTTGTATTTCGCTCAGAAATTAACGTTTCCTATTAAAACCATCCAAATTCGGACACCCTGTACATGAAATATGTCTAGAATTTTTCGCAGAATCAAGAAATGTCATAATATACAGAGCGTACTATTTAAAAAAATAAAGCTGATAGCCGTACTACTGTTCCTGAAACACCCTGTATAATAAAATTAGCGTGAAAACATCTTAAGCAAAAAAACAAAATCGACGTATCCGAGCGTATTTTCGAAAAGCTTTCCATTTATTTATTATCCAATTTATTCCATTTCTCAGCTATTTTCATGTAAATATAATACAGTACAACCTCGATAATCCGAACTAACTAGAAAAAAATTTTGGGCGTGTTTTTTGAATGACTTTTAGGTCAAAATTGGACACTTGCTAGTATTTGACAAGTTAGTCATGTCAATTCTAAACGTTCAAGGTTTCCTCAAGATTCGAGGAAACCTCAAGGAGCGACTATAAATTCGGCCCTTTTTTAGTGGTTCCTTGAAATGTATATTGCGAGAAATTCATGATTATAGACCATAATATGTGGAATATTGTCTCCTTCAACTTAATGATTAACCACTACCGGCGACTCCGGCAAGATCTGCCATTTTTTGGTATCCTTTAATAACAGAAAAATCTCAGAAAAAAACTCACTTTTACGCATCAAAACAATCACAAATGAATCTAAGGTTAGAATTTTTCAGTAACTCAACTCTCGACTTGGGTATCAAAAACAATAACCGTGTTATAGAATGATTACGTCACTTTATGACAGCAAAACGCCTTTCCCTATTACCGTTTTCTCGCAAAAACGGATCGGTTATTGATTTCCTTTAACCGCTTGTAACACGGGAACTAACGGGAGGTCGCTAAAAAATGCCTAATTAATTGAATAGTATAGCTTGGAAAATTTTCCTATAACATTTTATTGGAAAATTTTCCTATAAACTTTTAATGGAAAATTCATTTATACAATTTTTCTATCTATGATTTAAAAAAAAAAAAAAATTAATAGTTTTTGAGGCTCTCAGGGATGCGCGCGCCCTCCGCGCCCCCCCCCCCCCTGGATCCGCCACTGAGTCCATACCCCTCATCGCTCGGAGGTGCTGCCCCTTATAATAAAGATATTACCATATTAGTAATATGGTACCCCCTAACTGTATGATTATTCAAAAACTGTACATAGGATTGAATTCATACTAACATGGGAAGGTTGAGAAAATAGTTAGAAACAGGAAAATACCAGTAGCGTACACTCGATTGACCTACGAACGAATGGAGAACCATACGAAAATATACAAAACTGTATGATTATTCAAAAACTGTACCTACATAGGAAACTGTATGATTATCCAAAAACTGTACATACATAGGAATGAATTCATACTAACATGGAAAGGTTGAGGGAATAGTCAGAAACAGGAAAATACCAGTGGCGTACACTCGATCGACCTACGAACGAATGGAGAACCATACGAAAATATACAAAACTGTATAATTACCTACCTAAAGATTTTTTAGCTTGACTTTTTTACCTCCATTTTCATTAAAACCTTTTGGCAACAAAATAGAACCATCGTCACTAATTTAGCTATAGATAAATATCATTATTAAACCTACCATTAAGCTCCTGCATTAAACGTAAATTAATAGCGAGACTAATTTAACTTCAAATGTTGAAATTTGTTTATTTTCGTTCGTTTTTTTTTTTTTTGAAAACCCGTTCACAGTCTATTAGGTACTGGTCTATTTATGCCCTCTTTATTTGCTAAAAACCCATGTTTCATTATCTTCTGATGCTTTTGATCAACATCAGCAAAATAGGTTTTATCCATTTTCATTTCAAAATCATCATAAGATTTTTGTTTCTGTGAACTTAGTCCAGTATGATTAAATAAGTAAAATTTTTTAGCGTTTCACCCTAAAAGATCTTGCATAATCTTTCTTCTGAATATAATACAGCTCTGACTGTTCCCACCAAAAGTTCAATTTTCTCGATCGGAGGTGTGTAAACTACAGTCCTTTGATGTTTTATTCGACTACTTTTTAGTATCTCTCGTACTTCATTATTTAAAAATTCTAATCTGTTATCTGTCCTCAAGACTTTTAACTTGAACCAGTAAGTGATATGAAGTTTTCAATATTCCTTTCCATTTCAGATTCTGCCTTCAAAAAGTAGACGTATCTGTAACTTGACTCACAAGGCTCAGTCCTCGGACCTATTCTGTTTTTGATCCATGTTAATGACTTGTTCGAGTTACCCGTTAAATGTAAGTTCACTGGCTTTGCTGATGATCTCTTCGGATGATCTCTTTGGTTTCATAGGGACGACTTACACCAAATTAAGATATGGTGTGATGCAATTTTTTTATGTTTTAATGTAGAAAAAATAAAAGTTATTAGCTTTAAATTTTCATTAAATAATTGAGACAATGTAAATCGGGCAATTGGCTCTATACTGAAAGCATCAGGTTTGTCGGTTTGCATATAGATACCAACTTAAAATTTAACCAGCAAATCTTAAACTTGAGTACCAAGATAGCAATGGGAGGTTTTGCAGTACGACGAACCTTCTATGGGCTAGGAACATCAATAGCCAAAATCCCACTTGCGATGTGGAGTTGCCTTTTGGGGTACCTAATTGCAGCCAGTACTTTAGTTTTCATTTCACAGAAACGTTGTGTCAGAATTGTTTGTGGAGCAGACCTGAGAGACCACTGTAAACCATTGTTTAAAAGAGAAAACATATTAACTCTTACTAGTCTGCCTTGTCTATAAAAAGTATAAAGATTCTACACACATGCATCCCTATTCAAGAAGACATTTTAATAACATTTCAGTACCAATACCTAGATTCACTCTCACACAAAATTCCCTGATATACGAGAGTATTAAAGTTTATAATAAGTTATGATTTTAACAACCTTGGCTGTTACAAAGCATTTAGAAATAAAGTTAAATACATGCTGTTAGAGAGGGCAGGCCGTTCTTAGGCGAGTGCAGGTTGTGCAGGCACAAAGGCGGCCAAACTGAAAGGGCGGCCGCAGGCCGCAGAGCAGGGCCGATCCTAGGGTATCGGCCGCCCGCGTGCAAAGAACATTTGCGCCGCCCCATAGAGATATAGCATCATCACGTAGGTGCCGGTGGTGGTAGTATGCCGCAGGCGCCGCCGGAGGCAGAAATTTTTTTTGGGTGCCACGCCCAAAAGCTTTCATTGCAAGCCTGAAAATGAGTGGTGATCAATAATGACAAACACTATATCCTAAACTGAGTAGGGCCTGGCTTGGGCCTAGGTACAAAAGTGAAGAATAGGACTCTGTGGAAAATCAAGACACCCAGGTCCTTAGTCGTAAACAGTGTTGTCAGAGGTGGTACAATTGTACTAGGTTCTGTACCATTTGTTTTGAAAAAGTACGTTGGTATATTTGGTACAATTTTAAATTTTTTTATTTTTTCCAAATTCTCAAAGAGTCAGCCTACTGCCTACTTAGTCTAATGTCGATGATCTAATTAACTTGTATTTTTGTATTCAAATTCGATATAACAATAATTTTTGACTCGTAAATAGATGACGACACCAATGTAACACGTAATAAAAAAAAATTAGAAGCCTCTTACTTTAAACAGGTTTTCCTGATCGGAAAAGCGGAAAATCCAAAGAAAAACCATTGAAAAATTACATTCCAAAGCCTATTTGATGAAGCTTATGTTTTTGTTATTTACCCCGTTGAAAAACTAGGAATTTTTGATACAAAATGAAGGAAACTCAAAGCCTCGTACTTTAAATCGATTTTCCCGATCGAAAACAGCCGGGAAAAGTGGAAAATTCAAGGAAAAACTGGATAAAAAGGTAAACATGTCAAATGAAAATGGCCGACTGTCAAAAATGACAAATGATATTTACGAGGATATTTATTACAAGGACTCCTTGATTGAAGTTAGCCCCAAGCGGTGTTGCCACATCAAAAGCATTTTAAATGGGATTTTGCTAATTATGGCAATTAAAAGTGGAATTTTTTGCTAGAAAATGAAGAAAACTCAAAGCCTCGTATATTAAATCGCTTTTTTCCATTAAGAATCCCCGGAAAATTCGAAAATTCGTGGAAAAGCTGGCAAAAAATCACGAGACGTCACTTCAAAATGGCCGACTAAAAGCAACATTGCCACATTACATCTCGGAAAACAAAAATAACATTTTAAAAGGGTTTTTTGTTTAAAATTCAATTTATTAATTAATCAATAATGATTATAATAATTAAAATTCCCTAGATAAAGCATTGGAAACTTGTTTTTAGTTTAATTTTAATGAAAATGACATTACAAGGTTTACTTGTTGATTATAGTAGAATAGACAAAGACAACGATAAAGTAGTATATGTTTGTAAAAACCACCGTTTTCTGAAAAAAGTAAAAATCTTAAGAAAACCCAATAGAAAACCAACATTCCAAAGTCAACAATAAAACTGAATATTCCCGGCTCTTTGATTGGGCGCTGAAAATCGCATTTTGAATATTCCCAGTTTTTGATTGGCTCCAAATTATCCGCTGACCAATAGAATTATAAACTAGCTCCCGTGATTAAAATAACTCCGGCCCTTCGCGCTCTCGTATAACTCCGGCCCTTCGAGCTCGCATATAACTCCGGCCCTTCGGGATCGCATATAATTGACAGTTTTCCCGATCAAAACCGGCTTGGAAAAGTGGAAAATTCGAGGAGAAACTGGATAAAAACACTCGAAAATGGCCGACTGTCTAAAATGCCAAATGAAATTATATTACAAGACCTACTTGAACAAAAGCGATGTTGCCATAATTACAATCTCAAACATAATGTTTTTCCAGATTTTAGTGAGTAAAACAAAGAAAGTAAGGTAGGATACATTAGTAAAAAACCAAGAGCGATTATAAACGAGTAAGACAAAAAGCGGGAAAAAGTAGGAGACAATTTAAATAATCAGTTGGTCGAGCCAAACTATCATCAGAGTAAAATTTCGATTGTTCCCGGTTCAAACACTTGGAATAATTACTCAATTTTTTTTTGACAACTGACAGGCCTACATACAATATTATGACTTTTGACAATTGACGACTTCATTTTCGGGACCACCTACGATTGTTATGACTTTTTTTGTCAACTGACAGCCTTGTGATTCAGATTGAGGCCTACAACAGCAACGTTATTGCCACATATAAACGGTAACTTTGGGGCATTTGTAATTGTAAATATAAAAAGTTGACAAGTGGCAATTGACATCAAGAAACGATTGTTATGATGTTGTAGGCTGATTGAAATTTTTAACTTTTGGCGACATTGTAACGCTAGAGGATTGAAATGGCGTTATTTTTAAAATCATGAGCCCGAAGGGCGAGAGTGTTTTCAATCTTGAGCCCACAGGGCAACAAAGAAACGCCACTTGTATCAAATTTTAAAGAAAACAAGGCCTACTTTGAAACGTCAATTTTTCAACGTTTGTTGTATCATAAACAGTATTGCCATATGCTTTTTCCAAATCTCCAGCCTGAATGGCCGGTGTTGTTTTAAATTACGTTACGAGCCCGAAGGGCCGAGGTTATACGAGCCCCAAGGGCCGGAGTTATAGAAGTCCGTTCATTGTTAACTGATTTTAATACCTATTATGAATATTACAGGTCTGTGATGCCCTTAGATGTTTTGGGCAGCACGTGCGCTACACTGAAGGAATCAGCGTGTCCTCCCTGGCCGAGTGGCCCGGGTAACCCGCTCTGGTACAATTTTTCTTTAATTTTGGTACAAAAAATTTTTGCTCTCTGGCAACACTGGTCGTAAAACTTACTCACCGTATAACATACCCACCTGCACTTGGATGTCTTTGGTATAGTTTTTCCAAAATTAATTGGAACAAGGTGAACATAAATTATAACTGGTGGCTGAGTAGTAGCAGTGCATTTTTCATGCAAATTCTCAGTGACTAGTCAGCCACCAATTGGTACCTTGTTCCAATTGAATTTAGAAATACTATACCAAAAAAGTTGGTAATATTGTTCCCGCTAACAATATTACCAACTATATTATATATTCATCTAGTTCTGTTGGACGGTTAGTAATTATTCTTGCAGAATTAGGTGAATTGGGAACAAAAATAAACATTTTGAAAAAACAAAGCAGAGTATTTAGTAAATATAAAAAAATATGCGATCTTATGATGGATGTGTAAAAAGTTAAAACATTATCATGCGTTATCCTACACACTGACTGTGCACTAAACTTTCTATTTATGCTATCAGGAGATCGGGGTTTATTTCCATTTTTCAGGAGTTTTTTAAAGTTCAGCTTATTTCTTTATAAGAAGTAGTTTTATTTTGAGAAATTCGTAAAAAGTTTCACTTGAATCTTGAATGACAGAATTAAAGGGGGCCTGCGGCCGCCCCTAGATTTGGCCGCCCGCGTGCGGGGTACGCGCTGCACACCTGCTAGGATCGGCCCTGCCGCAGAGTCAGAAACCGTAAAATAATGACATAAAACTTGCAAGGAATATCGCAAAAAATAAAGCTATGTACTTGCAATTTTACCCTAAATTTCAAATGTTGCAAATTCGCTTTACTTCACAGAGGGCTAACATCAGCGGGACTAACCAATAGGAGTAGTTTCCACAATTATTTGAATGAATGAATTTTTTTAAGTGACGAAATTTTTTGGCCTGTCACTGGAAAAAAAAATGGTTTTTGAAGGCTTAAAATTAACGCATTTGGGCGTGGCACAAAAAAAAAATGTTGCCTCCGGCGGCGCCTGCGGCGGGCTTTTCATCTGAAATATTTTTCAGGTTTAAAGCGTTCCAGAACCGGAGCTCTCGCATCATTGGTCCTCCTACGCTAGGTAGCCAATTTTTCAATGGACAGCTCTTATTTAAATAAAATAATATTCACCAAAAAATATAGTTGTTTTGAATAGGGGCGGCTTTTTCATGCCCACACGAAGGCGGCAGAGGGGCTAGGACCGGCCCTAAGAGAGGGCCTATTATGATGTAGAAGAATATTTCAGTGATACACAATACCTAATCATAATTTTATATTTTTCATATTTTTTACCTCCTTTTAATTAGATTTTTTGTGTTGTTGTTGTATTAGGATTAAGATTTCTAATTTTTTGTTTTTAGCATTTTTATCTGTGGTTGTGTTTATTATGGATGTTGTTATTGTTATTATTTTTGTGATTCTAAGCTAAGTACAATCTAACTTTAAGGTTTTAAGTATTTGCTTTGTCAATGAAATTCGTTTGTTATTTTCTGACAAT